TAGGAATGTAGGTCAGGGGGTGGTCACTAAAGAAATTGCATCAGAATTTACTGGATTGGAGTGACTGGCGAAAACTTCCTCTTTCAGGTCTCTGGGTGGAGAATAGCAGGTAGGACTCGGGTGGTGTTAGAGGGATCACTCTCTAAAAAAAAAATAACACTTAACATTAGTCTTTGGCTGTTTTTATTTCTAGCTTGGCTGGTGCTAACAAGTATGTCATTGTGCTTCTTTCCAATACTTGCTTATCTTGTGAGAGTCCTGTGAATCTTACTGAATTAATAGGCTTGATTCCTGGGTCATTTGCCCTGTTCTGGGAAGACAAATGACCAGAAGCATGCCAGATCTCATCTTAGCAGATGTGGAATAGCAAAAAAAAAAATACTGTTTTACAGGTGGCATACTGTGCACTAATACTCATCCAGTTACTTTGGCCCATTTCAGCCGTAATCAAGTATTTTGGTAGTAGGTTGCAGCTTAGTCTGATTTTAGGCTAACTTATGCTGGAAGCCAAAGTGCACAAAGCTTCACCAGGCAGCAAAACTAAAACAAAAACCCTCTTGCTGCTGTGTTAACCTGTTTCACTGCAGGGGAGGCAGACCGTACAGCAATAAAGAATGGAATTAGAGAAATTCATGGACATCAAGTTAAGGAATGGATTCTAAAGGAATATCAGGGATGTGCTGTGCTGCAACACTTCTGGATGGTGGGAAAGTATGCCAGAAAGTGGGCAGGTTCCCATGTTGTCCCGAAATACTGTCTTCTGGTACTGTCACTGACGATGGAGTACTAGGCTACATGGTTTGCCCCAGCGAGGCATGGCTTAATTTGTAATCGTGCTGGTGAACAATGTTATTAAGGTGCTATGGCATGCTCAAAAGACCATATTGAAGTGCCCAATATTAGCGATGCTGGTGCAGTATATTCACCTTGAGTAGGGTAAATATTGCAGATCAACTTGTTTGCATACACCACTGGAGTCTGCATACCAGGGAGTAAAAATTTAACTGCAATATACCAGTTCAGAGCTGGTGAGTGGGGGGCTGCGTGGAGGTAGGAGTAAACCAGGGGGGCAGACAGGAACTGTTAGCTGGCATGACAGCAAAGGGGGAGAACTGTGTGTGCAACTGTGGACTGTCCGCATGATTCTGTATGCTAAATGGTAGCACACTGCCCTGGTGTGAGCCCTGCTTGAATTTTTTCATTTCAAATGCATGCTTTAGAGATACTGGGCTTTTTCTTTTGTCTTTGTGTAAAATGTTTTTTAGGCAGAAAAATCAGGATCAAATGCACAAGTGCCTGTGTTCTCCAGTTTATTTTTTAAGTGATTCCTGAACTTGTCTTTTTTTTTAGCTTCTGTTGAGATGGAGGCTGATAACCAGTGAGTATACACTGCTTCCAGCTAGCTCTGCTCTGGGAGCATTTGTGGTATGTGTAATGGCTGTTGCTTGCGGAAGAGGGGGAAAAAGTCACTGCTATTTCTTCTTTCAAGTGTGGATTGTTCTTCTGAAAGCAATGCCCTTGGAGAAAAATGTATCTTGAAAGTGTAAGGCTAAGATTGCCTGGACGGCATGTGGCATGAAGATGGCAGAAAGATGGAAACTACCAGCAAGATGAAGCCCCATTCTGTTTGGTCCCGGATAGCCAAGTAAATAATTGTAGAACAAGCTGGCAGACAAAAGAGCTGGCTCAGCTTATGACACAGGGGCGGTGGGAATCCTGTCAGCACAAAACAACAAGGGAGTGGAGTTGCTTGTTGGGGAGTCGCAGTCCCGAAAGAAGAGCTGGGGCGGGGGTGTGCTCAGCTTGCTCGCTCCTTGGACTTGCTCGAATCCCATGGAAATCCATCACAGCTCCGACAGCCGAAGGCTCCTGCAGCCGTCCTCGAAAAGGGCGTTGTGGGCTGCCTGTCTTTGAAGAAAAATGAGCTTTTAATTCTGCGGGTGAAAATGTTGCTTTTAGCAGATGGTTGGGTGTGGGTCCTCCTCCCGTGGGTTCTTGCATTGCTTGGTGATGTCTCCGGTTACCAGGGAGAGCCGTCCAGGGAAGGCAGGGCCACAGCCGCTGTCTTGCTGGTGCCGCTTGCTCCTTTTCCACTCAAGGCTGGTGTGCAGCAATTTTGTCAGGCTGTTACTACAGCATGCACATTAGTATGTGCATTCCTTTGTGGAATGTAAAAATAAAGCTAAGGTTTTCAGGCATCAGCTGATACTTAATGCCTTCTTAAATACAGCAAGGTAAGTCTCCATAAAGCAGCTGTCTGACTTTCAGAGAGTGGTTTGTGGTCTGGTTTTTGGGGATGTCTCATGTTAGATTCTCAGAAATCACCAGTCACTCCTGAAAATCCTGACCTAAACTTTTACAAAGGTCATGGTGTTTATTAAGATAAGTCAGCTTAAAATAATTACTTTGCTTTTGCTCTAGGGTCTAGGAATGAGTGGCTGAGATTCCATAACCTTAAGTATGTGCCTCAAGTGTTGTGCATATTGAGGTATTGCTCAGGAGATACTCATTAATCCAGAGGGGGTGAAGGTCCCAGGAATAAAAAAAGTTGCATTTCACACAGTGTGTTTTTTGCCTCCTAGTTATTTCAGCTATCCAGGGCCCAATTTGAGTTGGATTTTTAATTCCTTATGCAGGTCACTGGGTATTATTCTTTTTATGATGTAGTGGGAGGAGAATTCTTCATTAATAGCTGATGTTAGATATTTGATTTCTCTTTTCCTGAAAGCTGTTCTCCATAAAAACAGGTTTTAATTCTTGAGTTGCCAATTGCTACTTCTCCTGAATTCATGGTTTAGGTTTGTTTTGATGAAGTCTTCATCCCTGTGACAGTCTGCTTCTGCTGTAGCACCTAACTTGGAGTTCATACTGCTATGTAACTTAAAGTACAGCATCAGTGGCTGGAGCAGAGCAGGATCTTGGTAACAAAGTCTCCTTTTTGTTTGATATAACAAATAATGTATGGGAGAAGAGAACCAAGAAACTGTTTGTGATAATGACTGTAGGCAGCAGCCTACAAACAACTTGTATTAGATGTCAGAGCATTCCCCCAGATCTTCATCTCAAGGGGCGATTCCATAGGCTTCATCAAGGTTATGCTATATTGCAGTGACTGTGCTATATCTGGAGGCAGAGCAAAGGAGCAGAATGAGGAGCTCATATCCTGGGGAAGATATGGCTTATTTTAGCATTTGTTCAGGCACTAAATTTATCTTTACGAATAGTTGCGGCTTGCCTCCTTTGGTGCCAATTTATAGAAATTCTAGCTAACACTGGAGAACGGTAGGTGGAAAGAGCTTGAATGTGTTGTATTCTTACACTTCTGTTTTTCTCACTTCAGGGTAAATCTGAGACTCTCATGTGGCAGTGAGAATTTCTCTTCCCACAGCCGTATAGCACTGAACAAATCTTCTTGTCACTTACATTTTAGTTAATTCCTCTGAGTATTTGTGAATAGGAGTCATTCACAAAGAGTCCACCTTTTCCTTAAGGATAAGGAAGCAGATTCCTGTTTTGCAAAGAATTGTATTGCTGCTGCAGTCACTAGGTCATGGGAGCACATAAAAGAAACTTAATAAAAAAAGTAATTAATCTGTTAACTTCAGTCCATTCTTTTTCTTTCCTTCCCCATCCTTCCTGCCATTCCTGAAATCACTAAAATGTTTTCAAAACCCATCTTTGAAGCTTGTAGATATTGAATTGAGCTCTGTTATTAGGAAGACTGGGGAGGGTTTATTCCAATTTCAGCAGAGCTTTACCAGGCAGCTTGTGCATGCAGTAATTATAACTTGGTTCTCCATGCTTGAGAACTTGCAGCTCAGGGCAGTAGTCCTGATCTTATCAGCGTTTTGTAGTACAACAGTGTTCTTTATAATAGCATCTGTTTCACTTCCTAAGGCTTAACTCTACCCACAAAAGGAATTTCTGTGGATTCTCTGATAATCCTGAAATTGCTGCCCCTGTACCTTTTCATTGACTCAGTGCTTTCAGTTAACCCATGGGGTAGGGGAGGGGCTTTCTTCTTCACTGCAGTGTTTAGCCTTGTCCCTAAGTGGATATTTGAGCAGATTTCTGGCCTAAAACATCTGTGAAATCTGCAGGTCTGCAGTAAGGAGGTGCAGAATGATTATTGAGTTTCATGCCAGAAGTTTTTCTTTCTCTTTTCTATATTAAAGCTTTAGTGGGTTCTCGCCAGTTCAGAGTTTGCCATTTGAATACAATTTTGTAGTCTGGTAAAACCTCATCGGGCTTTAGCTGAGCCCCTCTCAAATGTGGTATGAAACTGGGGTGGGGAAGAAGGGAATGACCTGGAAAAGGAGCATTTCCAGTTTCTTGTCAATGTCCCCATTTGCATGCTAACTGCAATTTGTGCAGGCAAAACTGGAGGAGGAAACAATGAGCTGCTGTTCTGTTTGTTGTAATACTCCACCTTTTTTATTGAGCACAGAGTTTTGATTAGTTCTGTAGTCTCTGGGAGGGACAGACATGTGAGGTGGTAATATTTGAGAGGTAGGTGTTGTGCAGGGAGGGGTTGAAGCTGCTTGTTTGTAAGGTTTTTGTCCTCAAAAGAATGAGCTAGATGAAGCAGGAAAGCATTTGTCATCTCCTTTTCTGTCTGCTTGGCAACTCAGGGTTAACTCTGGCTTTTGAATGTGGGATTGGAAACCAAAATTGCTCTGGACATCTGAGCTTCCCTCTAATAAGATATTCCAGGTGGTTAGGGAGTAATCCTAAAATAGCTCCAGATATAATTGCTTCTGAAGTCAGGCCTGCAGCCTCTCAGGGAGAGGGTGGTCCGGGGAGGGGGGGGAGCTCTGGTGGCCTCCGAGGTGTCTGCAGTGCGGGAAGGCTCCCTGGCTCTGCCAGCAGCCTGTGAAGGTGGCCAGCCCTTCCCAACACCTCTGTCTTCCCACTCATGCTCGGTGTCGGGAGGTAAAGCACAGCCAGGGCTGCTTTTCTGCAAGAAACCAGATAAATTCTTGCGTGTGGTAATGCAAGGGCTGTTTGTCAAACATCAGCAAATTCCCTTGATACAAATGGGTGGAGGGAGAGGCACGACTCTCCCCAGAGAATGACCTGCCTCCCTGAACAGTGTTTTTTCCTTCCTGCTACTATTGCATGACTTATACAAAGGTCTTTTAATGACTTGTGAGGATATATTGATTTCTCAGGTTCCTGCTGTTTATATGGAGGAGGGCTTCTCAGCATAGGGTAACTTTGTTTTCCTAGGAGGAATAGAAAGGAAGCTTGGTACCGAAGCTCCTGCTGAGCTCTCTTGCTGTGCAAAATGTAGTTTATTCTACATATGGAGCACCTCTTGCTTCAGTAGCTTCCTGGGGCTCTTCACTGATTTACCTGTTCCAGTTGCACTCAGGTTTCTGCTCTGACCGCTGCCAATATTTGGTATCTTTGGTTGTAGCCTTGGCATGGACCCAGAGGTTTTGGTGAGCAGAATAGTCCCTCAAGATCAAAGCTGAAGCCTGGGAAAGTGCCTGTCAGTGCTAGTACGCTGTTCTCTGAATAAATAAGGCTTTATTCCCTGGCTGCTGAGCTGACATTTCATGCTAGCCTGAGACTTTGCTAGCTCCGCTACCCAAAACAAACCTGTGCTCTGTCCTCATGTCTCCACAGCCCGTGCATCATTTCAGTGCACCCTTGCTGATTTACACCATGGTGACTGCTGCTTGCACTGAGGTAGATGAGAAGCGCTCTCCTTATCTCTTCTGATAGCTTAATGTGGGGAGTGGTAACTGGCTTTAAACCTTTCCAGCTATTGCAGGAGGAAACGCTAACACTGTCTACTGTCTCTCACCTCAGATCACTCTGTCATGCCAGGTGATATCCATCTCTGCCAATTTTCTGGACATATGGCAAAACACTGATGGCTTCAGGTAGCTTTAAGCTCCTTTTCACTAGCGAGGTGTGGGGGAGCATTACTTCTGTGCTCTCGAGCATCTCAGGATGTAGGTATGGGAAGTAGGGTGCGTATATTCTGCTTATCTGTATTGAACCTTAATCTTGTCATTCTTTTCTAATTACCCTTTCTCTTCAAATAGAATGAGTGAAATAACTTCTAAAGAGTCTTTAATCCCATGGAAAGTTTTGTTCCTGGAAATTTTACCAAGTTCAAACCCACTGGCAGTAAAGAATTGTCTCCTTTAAGCCCTCTTCTTTCTCTCCGTGTCCTCAAATGTAGCGGAATAAGCTCTCAGCATGACCAAAGTTCCCTATGAAAGAAAGTGTTTTGCTTCTTGGAGCACCCAGTTTAATACCACAAGCAGTTTTGTTCTCTGGATTTATAACCAAGTACAAAGTAGGGAAGAAATCAGCTCAGCCCTTTACAGATCATTTTGGCTTGGAGCATGTAAAGTTGAGGATGGGAAATAGCTGCTGCCTTCTGAAGAGACTGTCTCCTATTCTGGCTGTTCACATAGGTTTGTTGATCTGAGTTAACAATCGGTGGGGTTTTAGGAGCAGCTGGATGTTACCATAATTAGCAAAAAAACTGTGTTTTTAATCTCTGCTAGCAAAGGACACCCAGATGAATCCTCCTGTGAACAAAACTGTTCTTCAAGTCTCTTCCTAGAGAGGGCTGGGAATTGATCTGCTGTAATAAACAGCTGACATAACAGAAGTGGCAATAATCCCCCATTAAATATCTTTCAGTTGATGGGAC